ACAATGCAATGGCCGCTGGAGCATGTGTTGTATACTCCTGTGTTGCACACAACAAAATGTGTAAGAATAGCTGAGAAATACATTTGTGAGTGAATAATTTATTCTTCAGAAGCCATGTCAGTTGTGATTTATAAACAGTAATGCAGCCGACATGTGTATATCCACGTTGGTGCTGAGCAGTGTACTTGCTTTTCGGAAAGCATTTTCTTTTTTCTTCTCTATGTTTTCTGATTAAAAAAAAAACATATTTACTAGCCCAAAGCTGGTTATATCAACACGATGAAGTAAAGTACATGTAATTGTGATTTTCTATTCAGTCGGATAATTCTGTTAAACATTTTTTCATGACTTGCATTTTGTATGGTTCAGCTTTAAGAAAAAGAAAAGGAGAAAAAAACAAAAACAAACAAACAAACAAACGACAAAAACATGGGATGGTTCATGATCTGTATTCTTGTATTTGTAATATGAGATCTGTCTTTAATCTCTCTTCATAAGAAAGTTATATTTGTTTGGTATAATTTTTTTATAAATTTTGTATAGTCATGAAATATGAGCTATCAAAGTCATACCTTATACATGTACATACTGATATGTGCAGTATATCAACACACAATTTGCTTTTTGATTAAGTAACGGTAGGGCCATATTCTATCAACTGCAAAAAAAAAAATTAGGCCTATATCTTAGCCAAAATTCCTACCGGTATTTTCAATATTCAACAATGTTCTTAAAGAATTTTTCCCTAGTCTTTGAGTTAGATTCTTACACTTTTGTAGTTTTTGCCTCAGAGAAAGTGCTGAACCTTTTTAACACTAGGGGAGTGTTTCACAAAGATCCTATTAGTCAAACTTAACTCTAAGTTGGACTTAAAAATTATGGAGAGGCATTTGTAGCCTTGAAATAAAATATATTCAAAACCGAAATCAAGTATTTTGGACTTTTTATAATTTGCACATGAAATCTCCTTGATAATAAGAAATATTAATGATTTGAATCAACATTTTATGCCTTTAAAAATAACTTTTACAAAATATTTTCATAGATGCTAACGGCTTTCCATAATTGTTATGTCCAACTTAGAGATAAGTTCAAGTTAGGATCTTTGTGAAACACCCTCCAGGTTTCCACACTTTGTGATCCAGCAGGCTCAGTAACTTTTGCATCAGAGCATAAAAGATGTAGGAAAAGAAAAGGCAACAATTTCTGCCCACATTGTGTCCATTTGGACCATCTCGTGTTTGACACTAGATTTAAACGAAAATAAGCTTTAAAATCCCTGAATTGGCAACACGCTGAGAGTTTCAAAGTCACTTTTTTTTTCTCTAACAAATTGGCAATTTTTTGGCAATAAAACTTTGCAACACAGCTCATAACCATGCATATTGTTTACAGAGACGTGCCATTTTATTAGAATAATGTAGCAGTAGAATTTAAAAAATTGAGGGCCAATTTGAAGATGAAAAAGTGATAAATTTTGCACTGAATGGAAAATCATGTCCTGAAAGAGTCGATTTATGTGTGTAGCCTTTTATGGCTTTTTAAAACTAAAATCCTTATAAATTACAAACAAATTCTTAGATTTTATTGAATATTCCTCCTGATGATAATTGATTGGTATGGTAATTTGGTGAAAACTGATTACCCGGTAGATTTTATTTGGGGAGTCTTTCAGCAGAAAATTCTCACATTTGGAAATTGAAAATCTACTCGTTATTAGTTAATATGTACAATTCTGAAGGTCGATAGGCCTACACATCACTAATATTACTGTTGAAGTACAGAGAGAATTAAAAAAAAAATTTGTGTTATGTAATGTTCTTTAATTTATTCGGATTTGATTAATGTAAATATGTACATGGTATGGGTAAATTATTTAATAAATTTATCAATAAAGACAATGAGGGAATGTTTACGTGCTTAATTTGTGTTTTCTGACTTTTTGTCAATTTTATTTACACTAATTCCTGTTTTGTTCTTAGGAAATGGAGGGAGAGGAAGAGAGAGGGGGAAGGAGAGAGAGAGAGAGAGAGAGAGAGAAACAGTGAGCGTGAGAGGGAAAAGAGAGAGGGAGAGGGTGGGGGAGAGAAAACCAAATTGTAACGATTCCACTATCATTTTCTTTCACTTTTCTCTTATTTGTCCCCTCCCACTTTTTAGTCTCTCGATGGGAGGGGGTCATGTGGCCCTATATACCTATCGCAATTACTATGCGTTGGCGTAGTACGGGTCCAGCCAGATATGGGCAAGGGGGCACAAAGTGTTTCACAAAGATTCCAAGTCGAACTTATGGAGAGCCATTTGTAGCCTTAAAATAAGATGTATTCAAAAGCAAAATACAAGTATTTTAGACTTTTTGTAAATTTCACATCATGAACACGAAATCTCCTTGATAATAGAAATTATGAATGATTTGAATAGACCTTTTATGCCTTTTAAAATAACTTTTACAAAATATTTTCAAAGATGCTTGTAAGGTTCAACTTATATTAGTGAAACATCGCGCACCCCCCCCCCCCCCGGTCAAATAAAAGTGAAAGAGGTCGTCTAGTGAGGTAAGGGTGCTTGCAGGGGCGTCGCTAGACCTTTTCCAGTGGGGGGGGGGGTGTGTAGAAGCCACCGATTACCGACAATACTAGCCACCAATTACCGACAAATATATTAATCCCAATGTCCACAAATTTAAACCCGGGGCCAGGAACTAAGTTATTTTTCAATCCCCCCCCCCCCCCCTTGACAATACATTTAATTATTAGAGAAAGAAAACGATTTGTTGTAACGTTCCCGACGTTCCTGCTCAATGTACACCCCAAAATTCGGGCCGGACTTTGTCGCACGAAAAGTACCCCTTTACCGGACATTTTGGTAACACGCATGGGGTCCGTCCGTTCTCGGAGTGGGGGGGGGGGTGGGGGGGCGGGGGATCGAGCAAGAATACCGACACAACGGACTCGACACAGCAAATAATTATCTATGCGCCTATCTTTCTTGCCCCCTCGACGTGGTGACTCCATCCAACATCCACCCCTCTCTCGCTCTTACTCCCACCTCTCTTCTCTCAGGCTCCCCGGCCTCTCTCCTCTCTTTCATCACCCGTTTCTTTTGTTTCCTTTTTATTCTCTCCTTCTCTTCTCTTTCCTTTCTTTCCCTTCTTTTTCTTTCTTTTTTTCCTTTTCTTTCCGTTTCCCTCTCATTTCCCCTCCCCTTTTCTTATTTTTCCCGACAGCAGCGAAATTTTACCGACTTCTTTTTTTTCCCTTTTCTCCTTTTCTTTTTTTTTCTTTCCTCTCCTTCTTTTTTCGCTTTCTTTCTTCTCTTCTCTTTCCTTCCTTTCCCTTTTCTTTTCCCGACAGCAACGCAATTTGACCGATAATATCCTGTCAGGTGTGGGGGGGGGGGGGGGTGTCGCACCCCGCCCCCTAAGCGACGCCCCTGGTTCATGGTTATTCCATAGTTCTTTTAAAAGAAATGCAATTTCTCATGCTCTCGCACCTCTCTTCCATCTTTGTGTAATTCTCTTTCATTTTTTCCCTCTATCCTTTAAAGATAAGATGTCCGTTTTGCAGCCAACATCAAATTCTGTAGAATTTTGCAGGAATTATGAATATGTCCTTTCTTTGAAATTTAGACTTTAGCAGTGTTCTAATATTCAAATTATGCAAGTAAGCCCGTTTACTTGCTAGACTCCACTGTCAGACACTATTGAGTGACTGACTGACTTTTTTCATCTTTGGTAATAACATACATAAAATGAGCTGTAAAGGGTCATGAGCATTTGTCTAGATCAATAACCAACTTCTTGTAAAGGCCAAAATTAAACTGATTGAATTTTTGCGCAGCATAAAACGTACGACCATTTTGTACAATGGTCTGAAAAATCAGACTACTACTTACCGGCTCTATAGCTCCTAAGTCGATTTGACAACTAATAGTCATTATTTTCCCACTTAAAGATATTTTCAAGCCCCTCTTTTTTTTTAGGGAAGTATTAAATTAGTATTGTCTTCAAATGCCGTTGGAATTTAACCTTTTAATTTGTTGGGCCTGCAAATGGGACATAGTACCTTTAAACTCACAAAAATTCTCTCTGATCCCCCTTTTTTCCATCTCTGTTTTGTTGTTCTTATTGTGCTTGTTTTGTTTTTGTTTGTTTGTTTGTTTGTTTTTTTTTGGGGGGGGGGGGGGTGCTACACGCCTGGCAAGAGGGACCCATATTATACACACTGCAATATTGCGTGCCCCCTCCCGCCCCTTTCCCAGTAAAAAAACACCTGCTTATAATATCCCCCTTTTCTTTCTTTTCCCTTCTCATTATTTTCCCTTTTCCCCTCCGTATTCCCCCTTTCTTCCTTTTCCGCCTTTTGTCTCCTCTCTCTTCCCCTTTCTTCATTTCCTCCTCCTTTTCCTCATCCCCCCTTTTCTTACTCCCCCTCTTTTAAGTTCTTTCTCTTCCCTTTTCTTTCTTTTCCCCCTTCTTTTTCTTTCCCCTCCCTTTTCTCCTTTTCTCCCTCCCCCTTCCCTACCCCCCCTTTTTTTTTTACCGGAGGAGGGGGGGGGGGGTGCACGTGCTCCCTGTGCCGCCCCCTGAATCCGCCACTGATAAGAGCTTCCATTTCATTTTTTGAAAGGGGCGTTTCCAAAACTGGTCTATAGGCCTACCTTTAAGCCCATGGTGAGGTGATGATGATGGTGATAATGTTGATGGCAATGATGATGATGATGTTGATGATGATGTTGATGATGCTGATCTAGTAGTTACCGCAGTGATGACTATATGCGGACGTCTAATTCAGCCAAAGCTTGGAGCCACATGGAGCCCAACATTTCACGGGCATGCAATGCACCAACCAAGCATCAACATTCGCTCTGATCTGAGCTAGTATAGTATAGCTCGTCTCATTCTCAGCTCCGACTAAAAACCTGCTAATGGGGCGCGCGCCACGGCGGAGCCGCCTCTAGCTCTCGTAACCAATCGAGCACGGCCTAGAAATAAAATTAGAAGCACGCAATCGACCCGCGACCTTATTCTTCTAGTTTTCCATCTAGATCTAAATCTAGTGATCTAAATTACAGCGGTTGTACATCTGAATCCCGATGTTACTATTCTAGAAACTACAGGCCTGAATTCATTAAGTGAGTGTTATTTTTTTAAACTTTAATTTGTAAATCGTTTTAAAGTGTTGAATGTATGAAAGTTGGCTCTGCCACCTAAGGCTAAGCTAAGCAGTGTGGTTTACAAAATCTACGAAACAGTCACTCACGAGTCATATGATTGTGAGCTCGGGGGTTTAACTGTTAATAGTGTTTTATTTGACTAATAGGTCAGTGTAATCATTCCTCTAGCTCACTCTTAACTCCAGGAAGCTCCGACGCCGATGCATCGGCACGTCGGAGCTTCCTGGAGTTGGCTCACTCTAAGTTCATGCCCCGTGCATGGGTGGTCAGCTTCGTTGATGTACCCTTGCCCTAGGGTCTAATTGTAATATGTAACTGCATGGCTTGGGCCGCCAAAATGCAGTGTTCAGTGTCGATCGACAGAAATTAACGTCTGGACTCTGGTACTACTTGGTAGACCCCTACCAAGACGTTTTGTGTCCAGACAGGTTGTGTATCACAATCATCGGTAACAGGGGCAGATCTAGGGGGGGGGGGGGTGTTTTGGCGTTTTAAACCCCCCCCCCCCTCCGGCCCCTTGGGCGGCCAAGTGAAAAAGAAAAAAAAGTAAAACAATAAAACGGCACAATTTTTGGATTTTTGTTGTTGTTGGTCAAACCTCCCCCCCCCCCCCCCCCCCCCCTTTAGCAAAAAGCTACTGGGCCGCCCCTGGGTAATGGTAATTGTTACTTTCACTATCAGTACCACTAGATTAAGGACAGTTAATGATTTTAAATAGTAGGCCTAATTGAAAGCAAGCTGCATAGATGGACAATTTAGCATCTGAACTATTCAGGGCACCTGCCTGTCCCTGAAGTAGAGTAAAGGAGCCCGTAATCGGCCAGCTCCAGTTTTCGGCCGATTGGTTGGATGCAAGGTAAAATCACTCTAAAATACATCGCATATAAATAGCATAACACATATCCCACACATACCATACCATGCCAGTGTCACTGAAGAACCACATTTGCAATGGAAAATATATCCTAAAATATCACATTTTAGCGATGTAATCGCCGGTCCCGCTACCCAAATCTGAAAAATCAAGTATCTTACGCGTGTCTGTAAGAAATATGGGTACCATAAATTAAAATGAGCTTTATTTCAAGTATTTTTCAGATTTAAAGCCCGATTTTGTGCGAGTCGCATGCTCAAAAGTATGTCATCGCATGTATTAAATCAATGCAGCCGCACACCGCGACGCACACACGATATCTCTGTCTAATTCAGATTCCAACTTCCGATCACCGCTGTGCCTGTCTTCGGCCAGGCGAGCACCAGGGAGCTCCGGCGTGGGATACCTGCTCCGCCCGCTTGTGCTGTACATCAGCGCGGAAACGCACGGCGCGCGCGAGCGCTTCCTATTGACTTTGTACATGCGGCCGTAAACTGAAACGCTCGGCCGATAACGGGCTCCAAAACAGTGAAAATTGAAATGAATATTGTCATGGCAATTCGTGATTTTTTTCTGGGATTCTTTTTTTGTTTAAATAATAATAATATTTGCTTCATGATTTGAACAAGAAATGATAATAAATAGGAAGTAAAGAGTCCTAAAAATAGGATTTTGTCTTAAGTGGCCGAAAACGGGCTCCTTTACTCTACATGTACATGTATATACACTGTAGGCCTACATACAGGGGCGGCCAAGCGACTTCCAAAGTGGGGGGGGGGGGGCACCAACAAAAAAGGGCACCTACAACGGGAAATATCAAAGCGAAAAAATATATACAATTTTGTAGATATTGATATAAATATAGGTCTACCCCTACATTGTGACGTATCGGGGGTGATTTCAATATTTGTTTCTCTTTATACACCATAAAAGATATAGCTTAAGCATTGTACTTTGCAGTTGGGTGTGATGTCTGAATATTCATTTGCGAGCGAAGCGTGCGAGGACAATTTTTAAGATTTGTTTTAAAAAAATGTTAGGTTGCAGTGCGATTACATCTTATAAAGAGGAAGAAAAAAGAATCCTGATGGAGTTATAAGCACATTTTCAATACGGAAGACTGAAATGACCTTTGATATTAAAGTAGCATAATTATATCATTTTTAAGAGCGAGCGTAGCAAGCGAGCTTTGGGGGAAATTGCTCTTACTCTGAGTCTTAGTCGCTTTTAATCAGGGGGACGTTTAATGATGAAAGGAAAAGGAGGACACTTATTGAAAAGACACTTATTAGAAAAGAAAAGGAGCATGTGTCAAAGTACAAAGGGTAATTATCAGAGGTGAAAATGAGGCACTTCTTAGTACACCTGGAAAGAGGCACTCACCAGGGATGAAAAAAGGCACTTATGAGAATAGGAAATAGGCATTTGTTGACGGAAATGGGGCACCCATCAGATTTTGATAGGGGGATTTATAAGAGGTGAAAGGGGATAGGTCCCTTATCAGAAAGGAAAAGGGGCACGTATCATTGTTAAAAGGGAAATTACCAGAGGTGAAAAGGGGCACTGACCAGATATGAGAAGGGGCACTTGTAATAAAGAAAAATTTGCATATTTTTGAGAAGGGGGAATAGCTTTTATTAAAAAGAAAAATACCGGTAGTCGCATGTAAAAATAAACGGGGCACTTATCAGAGATGAAAAGGGTGTAATTATGAGAAGGGGAAGGGGCACTTATAAGAAGGATAAAGAGCGTTTATTAGAAAGGAAAAAGGGCACGTGTCTAAATATAAGGGGCAGTTATTACATGTAGAGGTGAAAAAGGGCACTCATTAGAGATGAAAAGAGCAATTATCGGAGGTGAAGGGGGCACTTATTGTAAAAAAAATTATTAGCATTTTTATAATGGAATAGGGGCACTTTTCGTATGTAAAAGGGGGCACTTCTTGGGTACTTGAAAAAGTGAGGGGGGGGGGGCACTGTGCCCCCTCACTTTTAATACAACTGGAAAAGTTGTAGCTGGTGATTGTGTGTTTGTGATTTTGTTTGTGTTTGTGTTCTTCTCCTGTGCTACAAAGCTATCAATGGCTTAGCCCCCTCTTACCTTTCCGATCTCATATCCTTACGTTCCCGTACGTCGTCACGAACACTTCGTTCATCTTCCACATTACTGTTAACACCTGGACCCCGCACTAACACCCGGTATGGTGACCGCGCCTTTTCAGTTATTGCCCCCGCTCTCTGGAACAAACTGCCCGCCTTTATTCACTGCGCCCCCTCTGTATCTCAATTCAAATCTCTACTCAAAACCTATCTTTTCAAATTGTAAATTGCAGTTGTGCATCGGTCAATGGAGGTGCGCACCATATTTGTCTTTATTTAGTTGATTGCCACTGTTTTTCTTACCTTATCTATGTTACTTTTGTATTTTTGCTTTTTCTTCTAATTTAATTCTACGGGTTATAGTCTTCTCTTAATCAGAACACTGTGCGCTTAGAAACATCAGTATTAAGCGCCTAATAAATGTTATGTATTATTATTATTATTAAAGATGAAACATATTTTTTTCTTCTCTTCAGGTCTGGAAGATTGTTGTACAGATCAATACTCTAGAAAGATATAATTTAGAATGATCTATGCAGAAGGACAATTTAATCATGGACAGTCCAATGGAATCTCAAGAGTTCACAGAGCAGACTGCATCTGGAGAAGGGGAAGCAAATGGCGGTTCAAAAGTTAGGATCAAAGGAATCAAAATTGTCCTGAGAGACATACAGGCACCTCGGTCATCATGGCCGGAAGTACACCTCCAGAGCCTATGCGAGACCTGTAGGCCGAGAAGAACACGTAGTCAGTCAGCTGCTGAACATGATAACAAGTTTAAAAGAGGCGGTGGGAGAAAATGTTGTGAGGAACTCCTGAAGTCCTGGAAGGCACCCACCAGAAGGCACAGGCTGCCAAGACATCTCCGCGACTTTGTTGTAGACAGCACCGTTCTACACTTGATAGAGTTCAGCGATTGGTATAATAGGGGGAGATTAGCCAGACAGTGGGATCTGTATCCAATACGTAAAGGTGTGCCAACCCGAGAAGGAAGTCCTATCAAAGGCACAATGAAAAGAAAAAGAACATATAGGAAGGAACAGGAGTTGTATAGGAAGAAGAAAGAGGGGAATAGAAAAAGAACCCTGCCAACTTCATCCAGTTCTTCTTTTCTCTTGAAGGCCAGGAAACAGAAGCCAATATGTGCAGACGAGACAAGGACATCTCATCTAGAATCCAAACGTAGAGGCAGACCTAAGAAGCATACCAATGCACCACAAACAGTGACAGGAGTGCTGCGAAATCGAGGCAGGCCTAAGAAATGTAAAAATGCACTTCAAACAATTCCAACTTCAGTGTCAACTCTTGCAGAGCCCATGAATAGATGCAGCCCCCCTAAGCAAAAGGATGGAATGACAGCTCCTCTATCAAAGTCGAAGCGTGGAGTCAAACCTAGGAAGAGTCAGGACGCGTGGCAAACTATGCTAGTCTCTTCATTAACTCCTGCAAATCCTAAGCTTAGAGTTAGAGGCAGACCTAAGAAGTGTAAGGATACATCCCAAACTGTTTGTTTGCCTGTTACTTTATCACCTGTCACAGAACCTAGGCACAGAGGCCAATCTAAGAAGTGTAAGGATGCACCTAAAGTGGCTCCAGATTCTGCAACTGGAGCAGAGACTAAGCGACTTGGCAGACCAAAGAAGAGTAGCCAAGCACAAAGGACAAAGTCTGCATCTGTTACAAGTAGTCCAGCTTGTAAGTTTCACAGCCGACCTAAGAACAGTCAAGTTGCACCAAAGGGCGGGGCAATTAATACCCAGAGTTCCTCACAGTCCAAGACTATGTCTTTGAGATCTGAGAACGTGAAGCAACCAACCAAGTGTTTTAATAGTTTGAGGAAACAACGTAAGAGTGGTCTCTTGTCATCAAAACAAGATCTGCTAAAATCTGTAGAGCCTAATCAACTAAGACTTTTACCTTTCGTTAATCCAGATTTCAGCATAGACGATAACGACTCTTGCATGATGAACATCAGTGAATACCTTGCCCAACTAGGCACCTACTTGGAGTGTACAGATTGTCACGATACAACCATCGTTGGAAATGTGAACGGATCTGAAGAAGGATCGTGTGATGAAAACAATAACGTGATCACAGACTCGGAGGTTTTGCAGAAGAGTGGTGTAGGGCAATTACAAAGTGATAGTGGATTCAGTGATGAAAGAACCACATTCTGTATGACATTGGACCCTGGAGAGGGATCTTGTGCTGAAAGCGGTTACCAAAAAACGGATGCAAACAATAACCTGATCACTAACCCAGACATTCACCAAGAAGGTGAAACTGGGACAAGACCAAGTGATAGCGGTGACATCAGTTATGATACCATACAAGTCTCAAAATCCAAAAGGTCCAGAAGAACACAGAAAGAGAAAGCACAATCGAGTTCCATTTGTTTGACCCTGAGGCGGAGTGAAAGGCTACGTGTGAAGGAGAACTACCGTAGATGTGAAAAGCTGTGGAAGGATGATGGCAATTGTTCACAGGCAGGGAGGAATTCGATGGGCAGTCTTTCAGGAAGAGGATCAAGCTGTAACCAACAACAAACCAAGACCAGTTTGGATGGTGAGTACTTGTACTACCCAGTGGTATATCCAACATTTTCTGGCAGGGGTGTTGAAGGTGGGGGGGGGGGGGGGGGGGGGGGGGGGGGGGGGGGGGGGGGGGGGGGGGAGACACAAGTTTGAAAATTCTTTGACAATTAAATAAAAAAGGTTATCATGTTTTTAGGTGTGCTTTTTGGGGCTCTAAAATTCTCTGACAAGCAACAAAACAAAAGAAGACTTAGTTTTGGCTTTAAAAAGAAAGTTTGAAAATTCATTGACAATTACAAATAAAAAAGGTTATCAGGTTTTTAAATGTGCTTTAGTTTTGGCTGTAAAAATAAAATAGTGTTCTTGCCCCCCCCCCCCCTCCTTTCCCCCCTTTTTTTTGTCGACCCCTGATCCGCCACAGACAACTAAAGGATCTACATGTATATGTCCAGACATACTATAATCACATTGATCTGACACCAGAAGTCTGTTGGAAAAAATTGTGACATTGTTTATGGAAATAATTCTCAAAGCTAAATGCAAATCAAGTGAGTAAAGGTAAATAAATATATATATATCAAAAAACTAAATCTACAGAACTGGGCTACGCTTGCTCAAGATTAAACCATCAATAACTGGTGTTGAGGTCCAGAGAAGAAGTCACCAAACAGTAGACCACAGGGTACAGGGTTTAAATCCCTCCATTATTTAACATCCTATTGTTAGACATAATTCTTCATTTGCCACTCTACACCCAGGTGATGAAATAGGATCCTGATAAAGAGCAGAATACTTAAATGCCTTGTTTTTATTAGATGGCAAAAGCAGTTCGAACTGGTAGTATTCAGTGCTCAATATCATCAGGAATAAGCACATTATAAATTATTATTATTCTTATCATAAATTTGTATATAATTGTAATTGTAATTTCTGAAAACTGGCTTGTATTTTTTGTTTCCCACAAGTAGTGTACCGAATATTGCAGTTTCAATATTCCAACAAACATACTTTGGGGGTAGTGATAGCTTACAATATGCTTTCAGTAATTTTGATTGTATTCAAGTATAGAATATTTTGCACATGTATAATTATTTATGCTCTGGCAACAGCCAATTTGAGCTTTGTTGGGTTTAAAGTTAGGTTTATGGTTAGGGTTATGGGTATATAACTATGTGTAGCGTTTGGTCCAGGGTTGAAGTTAAGATTTCTGGGGTGTGTTTCACAAAGATCCCAAGTCAAACTTAACTGTAAGTTGGACTTAAATATTATGGAGAGCCATTTGAAGCCTTAAAATAAAACATGTTCAAGAGCGAAAATTAAAGTATTTTTAGACTTTTTATAAATTCCACATCAAGAACATAAAATCTCCTTGATAATAGAAAATATGAATGATTTGAATCAACATTTTATGCCTTTTTAAAATTAACTTTTACAAAATATTTTCATAGATGCTAACGGCTTTCCATAATTTTTAAGTCCAACTTAGAGACCCCCCCTGTTCTAGGGTATGATATTGACCTTGCAGCAATAGTCGCCAGAGTTGTACATACCAGTAACTGACACGCAGTCTTCATACCGTACATGATTTAACACCTTGATTTTATTCAATGATTACAGATGATCTCCTGCAGGAGTTTGTAGCCATGTGCCCTCTTGAGGGCGACATTTTATTCTCAGACGAGGAATGCCTCTCCTTACTTGCAGGGTCTCCCATCTTTACTGGCAACGCTATAGGATCACCTTCACGCTTCGCCATGCTCGATGACAAGGAGATGGGGTGAGTATATCCCCTTAACTCACTCGCAAAATTTTGCTTAGCCCTGTTCTATTGTTGGGCATACTACTCCCTTTGCTTTACCAATAGTACTAGAATATAAAGCTTATCCCACTTCATCTTTACATTCAATTTTACTATTTAAAGCTTATCTGTACTAGTTTATAGGAGGGATTAGACCACCCTGCAAGGTCACTGGACAGGTGGTTATCTCATCAAATCAGCTCTCAATTAACATATGAAAAAGAGGATCATGGGGGACCAATGGTTACCGATTAGGCATTGTTTTCTATAAAGAGGGAGCAAGTAGCTACAAGTAGTACAGTGTGGCTTTAAGTGGACTAGCCCAACTGATTGTAGAGTCCTGGCTATCTGGCCATGGCAAAAAGCGGGGGAGGCACCACCTTTGACGGGGCTAAGCATAACAAGGTGGGGATTTAAGTGGTCAAGTGAGAACAGAAGAGAAATGGTCCTGGGCTAAGAATTGCAGTGAATTGCATCCATGGCTTTATAGATATCTATGAGCTATCCAAATAGTCCTTGGTTAGCGATTTTCTTGGCAAAACATCAGTTTACTAATGTGTGCAAATTTTGGTGGAAGGTTAAGTTCTGCTTTGGTGTAGAGGGACTGGAGGAAGGGTGAAGAAAGTTTGGGAAAAAGGAAAGGAAGGGGTATACAAATGGGCACTTTTGGAGAATACATGTACTATCTAATGCTGATGTGGACGTAGTTCCCATATTTTCTTGTTTCTGGTATTTTTTTGCTGGCAGTAGATCAGATGATTAATGTATTTACAATTGTTTTTGTCCTTTGTGCACAATGCTATCTGCGCAACAGTTCAAAATATTTCCTAAGACATGCCTGACATGACAACAGCTAATTTACAGTTTAGTGAGTAGGAACACTAGGATGAATATCTGTGCAGTGAGCAATTTAGCTCTCAAAACCTTTTTCATAGAGTTCTGGTGAACTGAGAGAAAGTTCTTGTAAAAAGCACTTAAAAGTACTTGATTATTTGCTTTGAGAAAATTGCACTCTCACACCATCAAAAGCTGAAGAGCCCCTGGGAACAGAAATATACATGTAATTGTCAACACTGCCATATGGTCTATTGAAGTTTGTTTGCCCGCACATTATTCTTTTGCTCTTCAATCGAGTCCAACCGCGGGACTAATGTCCTTTGGCAAGACATTGATCTACATTTGCCACACTCAACCCAGGTGATGTAAATGGGTACCAGGCAGGAATTAATTCCTTGAAATGCTGGAGTGCTGTAATGACAGCTAGGCTAAAGCCGGGGTAATAATACATGCGCCTCTGAATAGAATGTCTAGATAGATGACGCTATAGAAATGCCTATTATTATTAATTACACAGGAGCCAGACAGTAGATGTCAATCGCCCCAGAACCCCACCGAAGGTGAGACGAAGCTTCTGTGAATTCCTCCTGGACGAAGACTCCCTTCTCTTGCTAGCAAGTCGACCCATTCACTATCCTCCACATCATGGTCCAGGATCAGGCGAAGGCTCTCTGCAGGAGCTGTGTGGAATCTCTGCAGGAGCCTGGCAGGCATGTCCAGGACCTAGCGAAGACTCTCTGCATGAGTATGGAACCTCTGCAGGAGCCTGGCAGGTATGTCCAGGACCTGGCGAAGACTCTCTGCAGGAGTATGGAACCTCTGCAGGAGCCTGGCAGGCATGTCCAGGATCTGGCGAGGGCTCTCTGCAGGAGTGTGGACTCTTTGCTGCAGGAGC